TGGTCATAGTTCCCTGAGTCCTCTTTCTTCGCTTTATTAAAGGTGAACACTATATTTGCCCTGTTCAGTCATCTGGGACCGCCCCCCCCTTGCCCTCTAAAAGTCCTCAAAGAGGATGTTATAATCAAAACAGATGTAAAAAGGATATTAATATGAAAGAAAATGTTATTTCATCCAATGGCTTATGAACACACCTTTCACATGCCCTGCGTGAAGGGCATAATTGATTATATGAAATCAAATCCCTCTTATGAAATTATGATTGCCATTAACTCCCATTGTTGTTGAATGGGTTCATTATTTTTTTCAGGTTCAGCTTTCTACATTTCAGTTGTATGTTTATCCTCATGAAATGTAAATCTTCTGGTTGCATGACTACTTTCTAGTTTTGTAAATTGTAGACACTGGAAATATTAAACCAGTGTACAATGGAATTAATGGAACAAGTTTAAAAGAAACAAACTCTATTGCCTTTTTGTAATCTGAGTTTCCTTGTTGTGGAGCTGTGTACCAAAGTATATTATAGCAGATTTGAGAGAAGGATATGAATAAGAACAAATTATATCATTTTAGCACCTCTCATCTTCATATTTTGTACATCAAGAATGTATAGGGAAACAAACATAAGTATTTTATCTTTTTTGCAAGAGAACAATAATGCATTTTTGCATTAGAGGATATCTTTTAAAGTGTTACTGGCTCTTAAAAGGCTAAGCCATTACACACCGCATTCCCACTTTCAGGAAACTGAATTTAGTGATCATAAGGCTGTTTTCAGTCTTTGGCTAGAGCAAAAATTATATTTGCTATAAGCAGGCTCATTTCTATTTAACATAATATGGAATCACATTTCCCAGCCCCCATCATTAGGCTGCTTTTTAAAGTGTAAACATACCTACAAATAGTATAGAGATTCAAGGTGGACACATACATTACCCTGTGTGTCCACTTTGAATCTCCACAAATTGCCCGATATAGTGCATGAAACACATTTTATCATTTTTTGTGCTCATTAGGGCATTGCATAATGACAAAAGATGGAACGAGTCCATTTAGAAGATGGCAGCTCATTATGTTCATGAAGGATGTAGGTATAATTTGCTCCAAACTCCCACACTTTAACATGAGGTTGCAAGAGAACACACAGATAATAAAATCTGAAGCTTATAAACAATTGTTAATTGAAGAAAAAAGTCTGCCTTTTTCCCTTCATGTAAGAAGAAGTTTTGTATGAAAACACAGGTTATGTTTGCAATATAAGAGATGGCCCAGGGATATATCAGCAATGAAGTACAAAACAAGCATAAATTTCATAAGGCACAATTGTGTCTTTGAGCTCTAGGTAGATTTATATTGTATGAATGCTAAATCATAAACCAAAATGTATTTTATTAAGCAAGTATAAATATTAAATAAATGGGATTCTGTTCCCATCATACCCCACATACTGGTTTCTTAAAATACAAATTGATATCATTTGGGGGGAAAAATAAGACTCATCTAATTTACTATATGATTTTACCATGCTACTACTTGTTCTATTGAATTATTACATTAGTAATATATCTGAACTTCAGCAAAGAACTGTAAGTGTATAAACAGCAAATCAGAGAATCAATTCAAGCCTATTAGCTTGCCCGATTTCAAAAACAACACCCTGATGAGTTCATTTCTTTTGATTTAGAATATACATTACATCACAACAAACTTAAAGTGGATGTGTAGCAGTTCTACAAAAAGTATCTAAATACAGATTTCTTTTCTCAAACCAAGTATTTTGTGTGACTAAATTTAACGTGCCCTCAACATGCACAGGAAATGATGAGAAGTGCTAACATTTTCAAACACATCTGATGACATTATAGAACATGATTCTACTTTGTTACTTGTGAAAAGAACATGCTCTTGGTGCAATTGATTTCATACATAAAAGGCAATGCTTTGAAAGACCAAGACTGCTATTTTTGTCCACCTAGGAGAAACTGATTCCTAGAGCTGATAACAGCTCTGACAATTAATTACAAGCTAAAGATCAACCATGTCAAATCATTGTGAAATCCCTAGACATGAATTAGAATGACTCCTGATTACCTTAGTAAGGTTTAAAAAGAACTATTCTTTTTCACTTGTCTTTTCAGTATATTTCCAAGGCGCGAGTCTTATTGAATTTTTATACTGATAAAAAAAAATGGAGCTGGATAGAACCAACCAATTTACTGTGTGGTTTTTGTATGACTGACTCACTACTGAGAAATAACTGACCAGTTAAGTGTTCTTATGTATTAGATGTGAACAAATAGTGAACAAAACAATTCACAAACATGCTTACAAAATACAAATTACCATCTGATTTAGCCATGTCCATAATTTTTAGTTTATTTGCTTTTCCAAAAAAAATTAAGTTCCATGTTTGCATGAATGTTTTGAGATTATAGCACAACTACAGGTATGTATATGGAAATGAGGAAGTGAGAATTGAGATTGCAGCATAGATTTACATCAGGGAATAATTTGATCCCTTTTGGTGTGCCAAAACAGTAACTGCTAAGGGTCTGGCAGCATTTCCCTGAAACATACCTCACTGTTAGAAGGTATTAAACCTTTCCCAGAAGAGCCAAATTGAGTCTATTGATTCACTGGGGCAGCCAGATAAAAAGGAGGTGGGTGTAGCTCGCAGGAGGAAGTAAATGTAGGGTCTAGACTAAATAATCCTAAAGCAAAAAATCTGGGAAAAGACCTTGAACTGCACTTGACATAGTCTTTTTGGACACTCTTCATTCCTGAAAAGTCAGAGCAGTGAAAGAAAATAGGGGAAATAACAAGCACCACCAAAACCATTTTAATAATTTTTTTTTCTGAGTCACATACCTATATTTAACCAAGTGCTTTAACAACTTTATACTTAATTTACGACAAAGTTCGTATATTGACTTTATGAGATTTGTGATTATTAAATCAGCATGCAAAAGCCAAGAGAAGACGGGAAATTCTGATTCTGTAGAAACCATTTAAATCAAATACAACTGGATTACTTAGAAAAATTAATCCCAGATCAATGACATTTTATTTAGAGTATATTTTGGGGGAAAATTAAAATCAACATTATCTTTCTTTTTACATTCCTAGAATCTTGGCATTTGCTATCTAGGCTGCTGAATAATTGTTTAGCAGATCTATTGAACAGCAAAATGCATTCTTTTGTCTTTTACCTTAGTGCTACGCAACTAAAAAAAAACCATCATTCATAATGAAGAGTTAAGCAACATTTCAGTAACTGAAATGCTCTTACTAACTTGATTGAATGACTGGAAAACATCCATTCTTGTGAAGTGAAGAAGTGGGGAAACTGAAGACTATCTAAGATAATGGAGCTTAAATATTTTTCAAGAGTTGTAGGGGAAGTTGTCAGAGAATACACTGAACTCTGGAGTCAAACCAGTCAGGTAAAAACATTTTAAAAAGAGGTATAATGTTTTAATATCATAGCTAAATCATTTTGACAGCACAAAGCTTCTTATACTTTCATTACATATTAAATTTATATCAGATCATTTTATGCTTGGCCCAAATTCTGATCTTTTATACTGACACAGAACCAGAATAATAGCTGAGACTTTGCAGAACTGATTCATGCTAGTATCAGATTGGAATCTGTTGTTAGAGAATGAAGTCAGATATGAGTGGTATCCTGAAGAGCATCCGGGACTGGCATACCTGCCAAGATGTGCAGATATGCTGATAAAGTATACAAGATCTCGATACAAAGTATAGTAAAAAGCACCCTGACTCCAGTGATTCAACAACTGGTGTCCCCTTACCAAGATACAGGGTACCCAAACTTAACATGGGTACATAGTTGGAATATGCCTATTACCATGATGCTAAGCCTTCATTGATAGCAAAGAGATTGTGTAAAATTGATATTACACCTAGGAGCCCTGTAAAGCAAACACTCCTCCCCCTCTCCCCCACTCTCCCTCCCCCTGCCAATTAAACAAACAATCAGTTTTCTGAGTCTTGCTTATGGGTCCTTAAGGTCCCATGACACCATTGTAACTTATTGTTTGGCGGGTGGGGTGAAGAGGGAAAGCAACACTCCCTGCCACCTAACCAGATGTCTCATAGTTGTCCCAGAAGAGAGGAAAAATCCAAAAGCAATCTTTCCCCAACAGGTTCAAGGTCTTGCAAATCATGAAGCCATCCCAGAAATAATAATTACAGTAGTCTTACTTTCTGAGTGTTAATGTGACTCTTCTAATAAGCCAATTTTCTTAGCAGAAAAAAAAAAAGCCCCGCACTCACCAGCTCCTGCCAGGCAGTGAGGTGATCCCCACTTCCCCCCATTGTGTGGGGGGGCTCTGCCATGAGCCCCCCAGAAGCCCCGATGGCCACTG